GATCAGGCCGATTACCACACCCTGAAGAAGACAGATACTGTTAATGTCTGATCAGGCCGATTACCACACTCTGAAGAAGACAGATACTGTTAATGTCTGATCAGGCCGATTACCACACCCTGAAGAAGACAGATACTGTTAATGTCTGATCAGGCCGATTACCACACTCTGAAGAAGACAGATACTGTTAATGTCTGATCAGGCCGATTACCACACTCTCTGAAGAAGACAGATACTGTTAATGTCTGATCAGGCCGATTACCACCACACTCTGAAGAAGACAGATACTGTTAATGTCTGATCAGGCCGACTACCACACTCGGAAGAAGACAGACACTCCTAATGTCTGATCAGGCCGATTACCACACCCTGAAGAAGACAGATACTCCTAATGTCTGATCAGGCCGATTACCACACCCTGAAGAAGACAGATACTGTTAATGTCTGATCAGGCCGATTACCACACCCTGAAGAAGACAGATACTCTTAATGTCTGATCAGGCCGATTACCACACCCTGAAGAAGACAGATACTGTTAATGTCTGATCAGGCCGACTACCACACTCGGAAGAAGACAGATACTGTTAATGTCTGATCAGGCCGATTACCACACTCTGAAGAAGACAGATACTGTTAATGTCTGATCAGGCCGATTACCACACCCTGAAGAAGACAGATACTCCTAATGTCTGATCAGGCCGACTACCACACTCTGAAGAAGACAGATACTGTTAATGTCTGATCAGGCCGATTACCACACTCTGAAGAAGACAGATACTGTTAATGTCTGATCAGGCCGATTACCACACCCTGAAGAAGACAGATACTCTTAATGTCTGATCAGGTCGACTACCACACTCTGAAGAAGACAGATACTGTTAATGTCTGATCAGGCCGATTACCACACCCCTGAAGAAGACAGATACTGTTAATGTCTGATCAGGCCGATTACCACACTCTGAAGAAGACAGATACTGTTAATGTCTGATCAGGCCGATTACCACACTCCTGAAGAAGACAGATACTGTTAATGTCTGATCAGGTCGATTACCACACTCTGAAGAAGACAGATACTGTTAATGTCTGATCAGGTCGATTACCACACTCTGAAGAAGACAGATACTGTTAATGTCTGATCAGGCCGATTACCACACCCTGAAGAAGACAGATACTCCTAATGTCTGATCAGGCCGACTACCACACTCTGAAGAAGACAGATACTGTTAATGTCTGATCAGGCCGATTACCACACCCTGAAGAAGACAGATACTCCTAATGTCTGATCAGGTCGATTACCACACTCTGAAGAAGACAGATACTGTTAATGTCTGATCAGGTCGAGTACCACACCCTGAAGAAGACAGATACTCCTAATGTCTGATCAGGCCGACTACCACACTCTGAAGAAGACAGATACTGTTAATGTCTGATCAGGCCGATTACCACACTCTGAAGAAGACAGATACTGTTAATGTCTGATCAGGCCGATTACCACACCCTGAAGAAGACAGATACTGTTAATGTCTGATCAGGCCGACTACCACACCCTGAAGAAGACAGATACTCCTAATGTCTGATCAGGCCGACTACCACACTCTGAAGAAGACAGATACTGTTAATGTCTGATCAGGCCGATTACCACACCCTGAAGAAGACAGATACTGTTAATGTCTGATCAGGCCGACTACCACACTCTGAAGAAGACAGATACTGTTAATGTCTGATCAGGCCGATTACCACACTCTGAAGAAGACAGATACTGTTAATGTCTGATCAGGCCGATTACCACACTCTGAAGAAGACAGATACTGTTAATGTCTGATCAGGCCGATTACCACACCCTGAAGAAGACAGATACTGTTAATGTCTGATCAGGCCGATTACCACACCCTGAAGAAGACAGATACTGTTAATGTCTGATCAGGCCGATTACCACACCCTGAAGAAGACAGATACTCCTAATGTCTGATCAGGCCGACTACCACACTCTGAAGAAGACAGATACTGTTAATGTCTGATCAGGCCGATTACCACACCCTGAAGAAGACAGATACTGTTAATGTCTGATCAGGCCGACTACCACACTCTGAAGAAGACAGATACTGTTAATGTCTGATCAGGCCGACTACCACACTCTGAAGAAGACAGATACTCCTAATGTCTGATCAGGCCGACTACCACACTCTGAAGAAGACAGATACTCTCTGATCAGGCCGAAGCCACTCTCTGAAGAAGACAGATACTGTTAATGTCTGATCAGGCCGACTACCACACTCTGAAGAAGACAGACTCTCCTAATGTCTGATCAGGCCGACTACCACACTCTGAAGAAGACAGACTCTCTGATCAGGCCGACAACCACTCTCTGAAGAAGACAGATACTGTTAATGTGTGATCAGGCCGACTACCACACTCTGAAGAAGACAGACACTCCTAATGTCTGATCAGGCCGACTACCACACTCTGAAGAAGACAGATACTCCTAATGTCTGATCAGGCCGAGTACCACACTCTGAAGAAGACAGATACTGTTAATGTCTGATCAGGCCGACTACCACACTCTGAAGAAGACAGATACTCTTAATGTTTGATCAGGCCGACTACCACACTCTGAAGAAGACAGACTCTCCTAATGTCTGATCAGGCCGACTACCACACTCTGAAGAAGACAGACTCTCTGATCAGGCCGACAGCCACTCTCTGAAGAAGACAGATACTGTTAATGTGTGATCAGGCCGACTACCACACTCTGAAGAAGACAGACTCTCCTAATGTCTGATCAGGCCGACTACCGCACTCTGAAGAAGACAGACTCTCTGATCAGGCCGACAACCACTCTCTGAAGAAGACAGATACTGTTAATGTGTGATCAGGCCGACTACCCCTCTCTGAAGAAGACAGACACTCCTAATGTCTGATCAGGTCGTGTACCACACTCTGAAGAAGACAGATACTCCTAATGTCTGATTAGGTCGTGTACTACACTCTGAAGGAGACAGATACTGTTAATGTTTGATCAGGCCGACTACCACGCTCTGAAGAAGACAGATACTCCTAATGTCTGATCAGGCCGACTACCACGCTCTGAAGAAGACAGATACTCCTAATGTCTGATCAGGCCGACTACCACACTCTGAAGAAGACAGATACTCCTAATGTCTGATCAGGTCGTGTATCACACCGCGGAGAAGACATTCGTTTTTATGAGGCAAAAATATGTGAGTACGTGGATTAATACAGAGACAAGGCATTTTTTCACCAACAAACGCCCACATCAATATGACGCTGTTTATTGTGTATTTAGTTGTGAAATATTGTTTATACCACAAAAGAAGCTGATATGTCGCCGGTGTGACAAGGACACGTCATACCTTCCATACTGTTTCAGTCGGTTTCCGTGACTGGTTGGTTTTATGGGGAAGATTGTAAACATTCCGCCAAAAACCCTACATTATATAGACCAATGTTCCTTTCTCGTCAACTAACAGTTGTATCTCCAAGCTGAAGACTGCACCGCATGGAAATATCAATCTTGCCACGTTAATCCATCAGATAAACATGCCGTTTGACAAGAAAAGCCAAATTCCCTGTGTTTGTCATAAGATTGATAAGGTATGGCGCTCCTGCTTTTAGTGTTGTATTGCAGAGGGTGTTGGGGTGAATACACCGAGGGTGTAATATTAACATGGAATATACGTGGCACTGTGCTGGTGTGTAGGTGCAGCAGGACGAGACTGGGATGTGATTTTACATTCCTGCAACACAAACCAACAAAGTCAACCAAACAGATTATGTGTTCTGTATCTAGAGGAGGACCGTTCATACAAGCAGCATCAAGATAAACAGGCTCATAGCTAGTGTTATGCTACGTGTCATAATCTAACACGATAGCCAATCAGTAATTATACGAGGGTAACTCGAAACGTCAGAGCCCTTATAGATATTGCGTTGAGTCATGTGAGACTTCAACACGGCTAAGAAGAGTTCGATGTCTTGCAAGTCATGACACCTCGTTTCAGATTGATAACTCCAGCTGGTGTGGAGACGTCAGCTAGCGAATTAGACAGGGTTGAGAAGCTGATACGCTGAACACGATCTGAGGAACGAGCCATGTACACGCGGGTTGTGAAGGAGATATGCGCTCGGGGAGCATTGCCCTTCCTTTCCTGCTTTAGGGAATAAATGCCATTTAAAGAAAATATTTTTTTTCAAATACGAAACCTATCTTTTAGGATGCCAGGTTCAACTCGATATACGGTCGCGTCACATGAAGCCTTGATCTAGATGAAAGAAGCTTGCGTTCGTGGCCCAATCAGATGTTTGCTTTCTTAAGGTTTTCATTTCTTTACCACTTCTATTCGGAAACTTCGTATGTAACAAAATAACACCAACAATACAAAGTGAAAGCGGAAAAAACCCCACATTTTTATAATTATAAAGATACAACTGCGAATGTGTGAATCTGTTGAACGATTCAGTGAACGTCCGTGAGCCAGTATGAAATATTGATGACATCATGGCTTCTCGATGAGGTAGCGTACACTGCCCCACACTACAAAGGTACAGTGTGGTATTCCCAGTTGGGTATAGATCATATGATATGATAGGATATTTACATAGCGCATATTTATATCCACGCAACTAGTACATGCTCAAAGCGTTTAGATACAATGGCGCCCTGATCCACGAGTAAACTATTCACCATATTACAATATAGCAGTGTTTGTTGTTCACATTCGGGAGCACGCGGACTGACCCCACTTTCGACATACAGAAATCAGATAGGGGGGCTTACTCGCTTACATCTTAAAGTCCGGAAACAGGTTTTATTGAATATTAGCCACGAGGCCAGACTATCAGCGAGTAATGCCAAAGTCGATCATTTTCAAAACTACTGTGTGAATATTTTTTATTGTGAACGATTTTGTGTGTGAGGCAAAACCCTTCGAGTTACCCTCGTATACTGCACGTGTCAGTCGTTATGTAGAACAGGTACATACTTGAATAGTTTATGCTTCGTGTGGCAGTATTTTATTCTGTGAACAGTCAGTGCTTTGTTGAAGACGTTAAAGAGCGCACCAAGAAGTCCTCCAACAAACCCCATCACGATGAAAATAAGCAGGTCTACGGCGTTCCACAGATGGCATCCTTCACTCTGTTCGCTTTGGCACTGTGTAGAATGAACACATATCTTTCATTACTTTCGTCTCTGTAATAAAACAGGTTTCGTGGTTTTGCCTAATGCTCGAATTTAAGGGTTTCTGCTACATCCACAATTCCCCCGGCTGTCGTTCACAAGCAGTCTAACTAAAATCCTGTTTAAAGTGACGTAACAAAAACTCAATCACGCTATGACACGCTTCACCCAATATTCATAGATACGATATGGTTGATATGAAACCCCCTCTGACAATGTGAAACAGTTCATATCGATTTTGTTCAACACTTCTGACAAAGAAATATATTGCTTTATGAAATTAACCATCCATTATGCGGCATTGAAATCACATTACAGTGCTACAACAACCAAAGGTTATGACGCTCTGATGGGTGCCAATGACACGCGAAACGTTACATGTCCATACACACGTTAAAAACTCACTGGAGAGTGAACCAGTGGATGGTCTTAATTATATTTGCTTTGCCACACTGCTATCCTAATATTTATGTTTGCCTGTGAAAACACAGTCACTGTTTTATTCAATACCTAGGCAATCTGACAGTGACGTCTCGAGAGAAAATTCAAGCGAAGTCAGTCTTTGTTTTGCGTTGACAATTGTATTTCTTTCTTGTAAATTGTGACGGATGAGCAGCGGTGTGGCAAGTTCAGTTTTCTTTTTTTTCAAGCTCTGTATGACATTTCCTTCCTTAAGTGGCATTTAGAAGCTTTGCCACATCCATCGTCGTGAAGTGTCGTGTTTGTTAAATTACTTACTTTGAACTCCCCAAAGTTGATGAGTCCCGGTAGATAGAAGTAGCCCCAGTCTTTACTGTCAATACCTGACAGAAAGAAGTTGAGCGAGAACGTGGCCGCCATTGAACAGAAGAACTACAAAAGAGACAAAGAAGTCATAGTGAAAACCAACAGTAACACAAAACAGAATTACAAAAGATTTTGTCAATTCTAAAAAGAGAAATATTATATAACACGATTTAATCCCATTCTTTATTCTTTACACCATCTCAAACGACTTTTCGACTTTCGACTTCACGTCTTTGTCTAAGCCTAAGTCCCTTTGGAACATCAAAGGCGATGTGATGTGATATTACCGTCCTCCACGTCAGTTTCTGGTTCCAGAAAGAACATCCTTCCTCCAAACTGAACAGAACGCCTCCAATGGGGGCCCCGAAAGCAGCTGATGACAAACAAGAAACGTATGTTCATTGTATCTACAACATACAGATGTACATCTCTGTCAGAATAGTTTCAGTGATGATAACTAAAAGCAGTTGGAGCGCATTTTAGACGCGAAGTTTACTATAACCAGCTCGTCTTTTCTTCGCATTGCCGTGAAAATCAGCAAAGTCAGACTCAAGCATCGGCCTGCCATGGCTGCAACATGTTCATAGACCCATAATACACGATCCCTTGTTTGATTCTTCTATGGATAGCATACCTCCCAATGACGGCCTCCTACCTTCAACTGTCACAGCTTACGACATGCCACATCCTCCTTCATGCTACACCATCCCACGTGCTACATCCTCCTATCTGTCACCAACCTGTCACACCTCCTACCAAATAGACCGTCATTTTGTCCAACCCATCTGATCATCCATGCATTCATACCTTCACCCGCCACGTCAATGACACGCCCTGTTATCTGCCACATCATCTCTACCACGCCAACAATCCCCTGAAACCCCGTCCATAGGCAGCACTGTAAATACATGTATCTACCACACCAGCTATCCTGCTCAGCGTCTTCCTGCTTCGGCATATTAACTGCTAAACCTTTCTATGCTAACTATCTGAGACCGTCTACTTACTATCACAGCTACTAATTAATGTTACACCCTATCACATACCATCTCCTCGTACCAGCCACATCCCCTACCTAACACGTCAGACCGCCTCCGTGGTGTAGTGGTTAGAGCGTCCGCCCGGAGAGCGGAAGGTCGTGGGTTCGATCCCCGACCGCGTCATACCAATGTTTGTCCCTCCCTGGCGTTCGGCATTAATGGGTACAACAAGGACTGGTCGGCTCAGAGTCAGTATCATGTGTCTGAGTGGGGTATTCATGCTTCACTGCGGCATGGTATCTGAGTGGGCTAGCACTATAAAACCAGCTTAAGTCTGGGCTAGGCATGGTATCTCAGTGGGCTAGCACTATAAAACCAGCTTAAGTCTGGGCTAGTACAAGCAGCAACACATACACATGCATGCACGTCGTCATATGAGCGAAATATTCTCAAGCACGACGTAAAACCCAATTTCACCTGACCTCACCTGACCTCACCTGACCTCACCTCACCTGACCTCACCTAACACGTCATCATACCTGCCACACCTGCCGCCGCTCCTCCCGATACAAAGTCTCTTTTATCCCTGTAAAAGAAAGATGTTAGTGAAGGTGATCTGATCAGTTGATTCAGAAACATAATAGTAACAGTACATATCACCTTTGTTATTCTTACCCGTGAAGGTCCGGGTAAGAATGAACCTTAAGTAACCCATGCTTGTCGCGAGAGGCGACTAACGGGATCGGGTCGTCAGGCTCGCTGACTTGGTTGACATATGTCATCGGTTCCCAATTGCGCAGATCGATGCTCATGCTGTTGATCACTGGATTGTCTGGTCCAGACTCGATTATTTACAGACCTTCGCGATATAGCTGGGATATTGCAGAGTGCGGCGTAAAACTAAACTCACTCACTCACTCACTCAATTTGTTATTCTAATATATGTTATCAACTGTGCGTATGTAATAACACATGTTTACATTTCATTGAAGAACTGTCCACAGAATCAGCGTGTACCTGGGTCTGTCTTGAATGACGAGTGTGTAATGCCTTATGTTTCAAGCTTGAGATGTTACGTATAACCTTAACAGTTGTACATGCATGGCATGGTTGACGTGTTGTGTTCGTGCTGCGCGGTTAGAGAATACCGTCTGAAGGATGATGGTGCGATCCTCTATAACCTTCACTCACATGACATCAGCGTCATTTTACAGCACACAGTATGGACAATGAATTGGAAGCGTGATATCTCACCTGTCCGTCCTGAAGAACGCATACTTTCTGATGTTGATTTTTCGAAACGCCAGACTCTGAAACTAAAAAGGGAAAGAAATTGCATACGCATGACGTGTGTGAATTACGAAAGCATCTTCTTAGTTATCCTTTGTCTTACAACTGATGCATTTCACGATCTGCAATAAAATTGCATGTTATTGCAAACAGTTATTTTATTCTAACTTGTATGAAGAAAGAATATTAGAAATACCTAATTCAACCCAGAAATCATTTATCACATTATAAAGGTGGGGTATGAATAAAACATTCCCAACTTGTGTCTCTCTGCTGCTGTTCTCCAGATGTACCACCCAACAATGATGTGAGCACGTTTCCCGGCGATCAGTGATAAGATACAATACGATGTGATATATCGATAGAGCGTTGACGCGATGCGATATAGCGATGGAGCAATGATGGAATAGGGCGGACAGTTTCTTAAGATATTTCTAACATTATTCTCCGATCCCCTTAGACCAACCATTTCTTTATACTGTGACTCATACCACCTTTTTTTGTAGCATCAGATAATTACTGCTAAAAACGACATTTCAACAATCATTTCTTTACGTTAAGACTTATACAACCTCGTTTTGTAGTATCAGATAAGTACTGCTAAAAACGACATTTCAACAATCATTTCTTTACGTTAAGACTTATACAACCTCGTTTGGTAGCATGAGATGATTTCTGATAAAAACGACATTTCACCATAATATATTAGTTGTCATCTGTTTGTGCACATTTGACATATACACTAACTATCTACAGAACGACGGACAAGAAACGCCGTCATGGGGTATCGAAATACGGTACAGTCACGCAGATGACTGACTTTCACTTTTACAAAGTCATAAAAGTAAACAGCGGACGAACACGCATGTATATATAACTTGACTTTTAGATGTATCCAATTTTCTTTCACTAAAAAGGTAATAGTGTCTTCAGTTCTATGCGCGCCACAGTGTTAGGTGTTATTTTCTCATTTTCCCATTTGATGTCTTCCCAAATAACAAAGTTATTAAAGATCACATATACTCTAGGGGGGTACCAATACATAAATCACCAATTGGCATCGTTATAAATGAAACCCCGTCATTAAAACTACTCATTTCGATCTTTAATTAACTTAAATCGACCTTTTTGTGCAAATCGACCTTTTGATGCAGTTTGTGCACAATTCTCACTCGCGAACGAAATTTCAACCAATCAGAGCGGCGCGTCTCTGTGACGTCATGTGAGGAATAGATAATGAGGGCCGATGCAGAATTCATGTACATTTCAGGGGGTAAATTATCTTGTTTACAGATTTGTGTAAACCTGAAATCGTGACAACTGTTGTGAAAAATTAAAGCTATATGTTCTCACAATCTACTGTCATTTCATTTTGTCTCCTGCTTTGCCTAGTTTCCGATATACAACTTGTTTTCATAGACGAATCTGTCAAAATCGCTTGGTGCCTTGTTTGTTCGAGCCAGACGCTAGTGAAAGTGAAAACGATGATCAGCCTCGCTCATCACGGTTACGGTTAATTTCTTCAACCTAAACAGTGCGACATTAGGAAGGGTGGATGCCCATCAGATGCTGTTATTTGAAAATATCCCCGGTAGTTCTTGTCTGATTGTAATAAAGTATCAAAGCAGTGTGGGCTTTTTCAAGTTTTCTAATGCCTGGATGGTATAATGACTGATCCAAATTGATCCCTTTTCTATGTATTTTTTATCTCGATATTTAATCATGTCATGTGAAAATATGACGTATGATATTAACAATTGACATTTGATTTATTTGAATCCGTAAACTAAACAACCTTACTTTGTCATTGCTAGAAGAATCTGAAAATTTACTTAGGTAAATAGGTACATATACAGTTTTAGCACACAGCAAATGCTTATATGTATTCCTTATGCAACAATGAAGTTCTGTTCGTATTCTCAAAACAGTGTCGGCCCATAAGTTTTCACATGCAATTAAAATTGCATGCAATACAGCAATTAACACTCCCTTGTTGTAACCCGTGTTAGGTGGTATAAACCTACGCATGATATTTGTCATCATTCACTTGATGGTCAGTTAATGAATTTATATAAGGTATAATTAGTGGTAACACCACTTAGATTACCCGACAAAGGTTCCCATTTGGCATTTCTTGTGTCTGGAGTAAATACTCAGCATTTTAAACATCGATTAAAGGACTAACCAATAACACGCTGATTGATTAATTACTTTTATCTTGCACAGCGGATTTGTCAAAAGGTAGTGTTTATGTATGTAGATTTACTAATCTATACTGAATAAACTCTGTCGTGTCTGTGTCTGTGTAAAAACAACGTCCTTCTTTCAAAGGATTAACCGCCAGTACATTGATTGATTGCTCATTATTGGCTAACGAAATTACTTTTTTTGTAAAGAATGGCGGACATTATGCAATTAGTTGCCAGGTGTGCTATCTTGGGTGACCAATGAGACTATACACCAATCTGAAATACCTGAAACGATATATCACTTTTTCGTATATTAGACTGTTAAAACACACATCACTTGCAACAGCTGAAGATGAATGGCATATCACTCGTTTTTGTTGATATTGAGGGATACATTCCTCGAACAAGGTAATAGCCTGACATTGTCCCTATAACTTTAATCTGTTTTAATTGTAATATTTGCATTTTGTTGTTATTCATGTGTCGTAGCATTCAACAGAATCATTGTTTTCGCCGTGAAGTGTAATGAGACAGACAACATACACTAGGGCGTGTGTGAGAATTATGATTCACATTGGCAAACTATAAAATGTCTAGATATTACAGTCCTGTTATAAATGCACTATAAGTATCAGCAGATCGCCTGCTTTTTATTAAGTTTCAAAATGCATACAAGTATGATAATAAACTAATTAGGATTATAAGACCAAATATAAAGACGTACATTGACTAGTATCTACATACTGGTGAGTGGACGTTAACCACGTGAATGTAGCAAGAAATTTATCGCGCAGTATTGTCACTTCGACCCCCACCTCGCTTCCGTGGAAGACATCGTTATGTTACAAGTTGTGTCATGCAAAATCCTTTTGGTCATGATTCAAATACATATTTAACTACGAGTAAAAGTAGTTTGATTTTCTAAATTGATGAAAACAAACTATAATCTCATTAATTCTAACAGATTTTAGCCTGTGACTTCACGATTTTCAAAAATGGCGGCGCCCTGTCGAGAACATCCGCCAGTCTGAAGATAAATGCTATTTTAATTAGGTTTGTTTTCACCGAGTTACAAAATCAAAACTACTTTCTACTGGTAGTAAAATATGTATTTGATTGATGGCCAATAGGGTTTTGCATGACATAGCTTATAACATAACAATTTCTCTCGTGGAAGCGAGGTGGCTGTCAATATAATACTACTTACAATATTATTGTCACTTCGACCACAACCTCGCTTCCGAGGAAGAAATCGTTAAGTTACAAGTTGTGTCATGGAAAATCTTTTTTGTCATCAATCATATACATATTTTACTACAACTAGTAAGTAGTTTTGATTCTTTAACTTCCGTGAAGCGATCTGAACACAAGTAAGATATGGTTTCAGGCTTCCACAATGCTCGCTTCGCACTCACAAACATAACCCATTTAGCACGAACTGTGGGGTCCAGTGGAAATCTGTGCATGGCGACACCATCGCCCGACCCCTAGGAGCAATTGACGACAACGCAACGATTCGGCATGTCTTCGTTGATGTCTAGAAATCATCAAAATGACGAGCTTGCTACACACTTTATATACAACTAACTGAAAATCCTTCATCACATGACTTCACTGCAGTGCACTGGCGACAGAGTTACGTAACCTGTCTGTGGTTTCGTTGGCGGGCGAGAGTGAAGCAGGCGACTTTTTGGCAACTTTTAATCGCTCGGTATTAATTAACCACAAGTTTTTTAAGAAAGAATTTGGTGTTCCGCATAAGACTAACCACCAATCTTTCATATGTAATAGTTAAAAGAGTTAAAAACAAACAAAGTTTATGTGTACTTTAAATACACCTAATAGTTTGATCGGCATTTTAGAAGTTGTTGAGAACATATTGAAGCATTTAACTTTACATGTAACACCTTCTTGATTATTGAGCATGTCATTTTAGCTTATAACAGTGTACATAATTAATGCACATTTGTGAGAACTCCCAGTTGTGAGACACATTAATTTATGGTTCAGTGCACGAAGGTGGTGTTTCCACATCCCTACAATGAAAGTGGGATCAGCCCAGTTGTTGAAGAGTACCCACAGGAGTCATTGATGAGTAGATTAATGAAATAGATTATCAAAGATTCTATTTACACAGAAGAAATAGACTATTATGAAATTTGAAAGTCATTTTGGTTTAAACATATTTTATTATTATTTATGAAAATGAATTGGGATTGGTGAGCAAGCATTACTGCTTATGTTAACACCGCTCCCACGCAACGTATAACACAAAATGAAATGGAGGATGTGACATCATCGATATTGACTATTGCATAAATATATTTTTAAAGTATACATCAAGTACAACTATTCTCTAAGTAGTCATAATTAGAGAGTTACAGTTGTGTGTGTCTAACAAGCTATTGTAGGAATATAAATCAATCATGAGAAGGTTGTTGAGTTAATTTAAGTATTTTCCTGTGAAAATTTGAAGCCTTGTGTCTTGATGATATAATCGTGGACAGATTCAACTATTTTCTGGTTTACACAAGGAGTAAATTCTTTGTTTCCGTTCAAAATGGTATCCAGGTTATAACGGGTAGTGTGGGGTAAAAAGGGTTTGGCATAAGAGGCAGTTCTACTGTAAATTTGTATTTCAGAGTTATTTCTTAAACTTTATCTTGTAGTTTCGGAGACGGATGTAAATCTGAGTAGGTAAATTAATTTCTCTTTCAATGATCACGAAGTTACCTACACAAAGTGTATGTTAATCAATTTATCTTTTAAAGTTTCATTAAGACTTCCACAAGATTCAGTTACATAGCAAATCAGTAATTAGCAAGGGTTAACCCATT